CTGTTTCAGGCGGATGCATTATAGTAGTAGTACATGAACCGCTAAATACTGTATTAGTACGAATTGAAATTCGTATTGCACATAGCAAATCTTGACGTGAAATATTCATTTGAATATTGTATTGGTTGTTTTCTCCAAATGGTGGAGAATCTAATGTATCTACGATTGCAGCAAAACGTCCAAATTGATCAATTTCCCATGTATAGTCAGACGTAGTCACTTTAAATCGTGTTTGAGAATGGCTCTTGGTATACAAAGGTAAAAATGGTGAAGATACTGTCTGCTCCTTTTTCGGGACAATCTCATTGTCAGTATAATTCGCATGTTTCATTCCTTCAGACCACATCTGGAAATAATTAACTTACTTATAAATGATGAAAATGAGATCAACATCAAAATATCCTGAAAGTCGCTATGCTTTTTATAATAAAATAGATTAAATTTCAAACAAATATTCTAACATGTAATAACGCGTATACATCATGTATAGATGTATAGATAAGAGTCACTTGAAATTGAATTTAACTTAAAATACGTATAAAATTTTTGGGACAACTTTAATATATCTTTTTTTAAATAAAACCCAGGTAGAAGAAGCACATGTCATTTTGACATCAATTGACGTCAAAAGACGTCAAAATGACAGACTTTTGACGTCAAAATGACATATGCTTTCTATCTGGGAAATAACATTTTATGTTAGACAACCACAAAAAAGAATTGAATAAGTAAATAGCCGTTTTACGTCAAATTTCAAGAATGATTACTAAACTGCTTTCTTTCTTAAGTCTTACACGATCTATAATTCCCGTTAATTTAAGAATAAACTTTTATTTATAATTTTACACTTCATGCATTTTGATATACATATACGTATAAGTTCAATTCTTAAAATGCTTTTTATATTTATTACGTATAAACAGGATTCTATCCTTGAATTCTGATAAAAGTAATAGATGCATGTGAAGTAGACTCTTTGCATTAATCATTTTTAATTGTATTCAAATTACACATGCTAGTAGAAATGTGATTTGATACGTGTATGAATTTATGCATTTTCTTTGCTATGTAGAATGCGTGGAATTGTTGCTTATTTAGGAAATGTCATAATTAATTCGTTACACATCAATGTTTTATGTGTTTCCTAACGTTCTAATAAAACACGTAGTCAACGAAGTTGAGAAAAAAAACTGTTAAAAACTTACTGGATTTTCCTTGAGCACTTGCTTATTAAATGCCATATTTGCTTATGCGTATTTGCTTTTCCGCTGAATCTTGATCAGTCACACTTAAGATCTTGCGTTTTTCTAATGATATGCTAATATTCCAACACCGTCCAGATAATAGCATTTATTAGACTAATGCGTGTATGTAGTACAGACGTGGCAACTGATTTCCTTTATTTCCTTTTGTCAAATCAAGTTTCCAAACTACTGCGAATATAACGTCGAGGTAATCCGAGAGATAATGCGAATGAACAAACAAACATGGCCACTGACTCGTGTAGATTCGAACCTCGACTCATCCATAAAATGTAAGCCTGTTCGTTTTAACTGAACTTCTTGCACAGGTCATCTCTTCTCCTTTTCTCTCCAATGTGAAAAGAAAAAGAAGAAAGATAAATAGTGCAAGAAGTTCAGCTAAAACGAACAGCCTAGTGGTGGGAGACACGCATCCTAAAGCCTTTTGTGTCCACGTTGCTAGAAATCGCTCCGAGATCTCAAACGGAGAAAGAATTGACCATTCACATTTAAACAATTGGCTCAATTGACCAATGCAATTGGTTAATTCTTTCTCCGTTTGAGATCTCGGGGCGATTTCTAGCATGGACACAAGAGACCGCTGTTCGTGTTATCTAAACTTCTTGCACATTGCAGTTCATTTATTCTCTTTTTCTTTTCAACGTGAAAAGAAAAAGAGGAAAGATGAACCGCGGTGCGAGAAGTTCAGCTAAAACAGGCCTAAGGCTTAAGAGAGAGAAAGAGCTACGTATGTATGTAACACACACACGTGACACATCATGCGACACAAATTTTTTACGGCTACTCTCAATCTCAATACAGTAATCTAGTGCTAGTCATAGGATTCTTTTTGATTTATTATGGCTTACAAGGGAACAACCATTCTTTGATCCCTCAAATTTTGCTAAATTTTTAATATGTTACAGAGTACACTCATTAACTAATACAAGATATATATAGTAACTCTGTCCAATGCGCAATAGTTTATGGAATATTAATGTTCAAAATATGTATTTTTTTATATCAATGATAAATAAATTATGCTTATACAAAGAAGTTGCATTTATAAAATGCGCTTGGTTAAATTATGTGTTTGAAATGTTTCTATGACAGATAGCATCCAAAAAGGTATATACAATGTGATCATGATATTGATTGTGCTTAAATTGAAAATTCCGACACTAAAATTCAATTAATTGTTATGTAATGTATTTTTGTTAATTGTGATGTACTACTTTGCAACGTCATTATCATTATGTTTTTTCTTCTTATATATATAGATAATTATTATGGTACATAAATAAACTTTATTTTGTAGAATTTTAAAACAATTACACGCACACGACAAATTTTAAACATTAATATTTTATAAACTATTACGCATTGGACAGAATTACTGTATCTTATATTAGTGAATAAGGTGTACCGTAATATATTAAAAATTTAGCAAAATTTAAAGGGTCCGCAAGGGTTGATTGTTTCTTTATTCAGTTTCAGTATAAGCAAATAAAATCTTATGACGCTTTTCAACCAATCAGATTTATGTAAAATGCTTATTCGAATCCTGCATTAATTTGGCTCTGGAAACTGTGTAAAAATCAATTAATCCACTGCTTTATAAGGGCTCATAGAACGATCAAAATATGTCCAGATATATTCAAATATACTCGACTGAAACAATGTTCAATAATAAATATTGTCATATGACGGATGATGAAAATACAGCCTGTTTCTGCTTTTCTCTTTTTATCTTTAGTAAGGATATTTGTTCGCGTGACGTGTGAGGAAGGAAGATGGATGATGCCGAGTTATGTAGAGTTATGTAGGAACGTACAACACTGATGCAAATTAATATATAATAAGCGTAACGTGTCACTTTACTAAACAGCCTAAACATATACAAAAGGGAAAAAGAAAAATTTACATGAAGTTTAGAATTTTATAAAAAAGGTAGACCGAACGGCGTGTCCCGGATCGAATTCATTTAGAGTTACCTTTTCGTTTACTGTAATTTAGACTGCTCGTGACCAAAAGTAGGTAATGACTGACGACAATTGACTGATGATTGACCGACGTAAGAAAGTCTTGCGATTTTTTATATTTGAAATGAATAAAAAATATACAGAAACTTTGGACTCTTGGCAACAGCGAACGGAAATGATAGATCTATTTGCTTCTCATCGGGGGGGATCGGGAATGACTAACAATAAGTTTGCGAACACGGCGAGAATAGCGACACGATTCAGTCTTGATTACGTTTGAAATCAACATCGGTTCAAATCATCGATTGCCGCAGAAGTTCCGAGAACGGTTCAAGTTTCGTTATGATAAACGTTGAAAAGAAAGTCGATAAAATGTCGCAACGCCTGCTATGAATCTATGGGCCAAAGCACATATGACAGTCGTAGTCGTGGACGTAAGTAACGCACAAGCTTTGGCGTATCCTGATCTGTCAGGTCGGGGACTACGACCGTCGTATATCGCTATCGCTACGCCATGTTATGTGCTTTGGCCCTATCGCTATTTTTACGCTATCACAATCTCGAATACTTATTTTTATTTTTATTCGATAAATCTGAAAATGATTATTTATCATTGCTAAAGTCTGTCAATATATCTTCTTCCAGTAAATTAATATTTTGTATAAAATTTACACAATCGCCGAAAGGAACTAAATAATTAGCTGCTAGATTTACATGAAGAACTTTTATAACTCACAACTGTTTTCATTGTGACACACAATAAAATTAACTTCAAAATACTAAAATATTTTATTAAAGTTTTGCGCGGTCAAGTTTTGCCGTAATAATAATAATGAGTAAAAAGATAAGAAAAGATAAATAAACGAACAAATATTCGATGAATGATATATTACAAACCACCTTTGTTATGTGTACATAGAATACATTACATTCTCGCTTTACCTAACCTGACAGATCCAACATTATATTTCAACAATATTATTGTTTAGGAATAAATTTCTTCTACACGGTTACAGAGTTTTCATTGTTCTCTCACACTTTGCCTTAACTTTTATTTTCATATTATTTTCCTTCTCCCAAAGCGACAATATAAAGGGACAAAAAAATTTTATTTCGAATTAAGCGCAAAAACTAGATTAATAAAAGATACAAAACTAACTAAAAAAATCGTTTTATTTTTATTTTTAAAGCAAATCTAGATTTCTAAATAATAGATTATCAAATTTAATTTGTGTAGCTTTATATTATTTGTTATTTGTGTAGATTTATAATTTTTGTGAAGCATTTTCTTTCATCTCTAGATGGTCGGACAGTATATCCATTAAATCAGATATCTTTATATATAATTGACCAACATTATATGTCTCCGCAATAGAAACAAAGATAAATAAACTGTCAGAAAGTAAAGATAAATAAACTGTCAATAAGTTTATTGAATTTTTTTTTTACATATTTATATTAAGGAATAATTATGGATTTGATTCTGTTTTAATGTAATCGCATTTTATTGAACCTCAATTAATGACAATATCGAAAATGTATAATTACCGTACACATTTAAAAACAAAAATTAGAGGAACGGGGGTAGCCCCGGACAGTGGGTAGTCCCGCGTATCTATGGCCATTGTTTAAACATTAAGCGACAATTATATAAAATTTTATTTCAAATTAAGTGCAGAAACTAGATTAATAAAAGATACAAAATTAACCAAAAAGATCGTTTTATTTTTATTTTTAAAACAAATCTAGATTTTGAAATATATAAGTTATCAAATTTAACTTAAATTTGTGTAGCTGACCTCTAATTTATGTAAACTTTCTTTTTCCATCTGCAGATGATCGGATCGTACATTTCTATTAAATCGAATATCTCATCTCTATACATAATTTACTCAACATCACTTTATGTTATTGAATTATAAAGAAAAATAAAATAACGAAATATAAGTTTACTTATTCTTTTATTTACATATATTAAGCAATAATTATGAATTTGATTCTGTTTGATCAATTTAATCACATTTTATCGAACTTTCAAATTAATGACAATATCGAAAACGTATAATTGCGACAAATACTAAAAAACAAAAATAAAGTTTAAATTTATGAAAAATTAACTCGTTAAAAAGGTAGTTGCTAAAGACTCTGACATCATTAATATATACACAGGATGATCTACAGAACGATTGGAAATTTTAATAAGATATAGAGTACTAATAAAATTAAATTTAAAACCACTTATAGGTAACATAAAATTGTAAAGATTTATATTTTTTATTTCCTTTTGTTTTAGATCAACCTGTTTTAGATCAAACATGAGAAAATTAGAACTGAACTATACTCCGTCCAACGAGAGACACTCTCAATCTCTCGTTGGACGGAGTATACATTAAGTATAATTAATAATAAATTCATTCGTACATTTAAACTTAAATAACAAATTATTTTTAATGTATAATAATACGTATTTGCTCGCAAATTCTTATACACATAAACAATAAAAATTATAATATATTTGTGAAAATAAAGGAAACATGTTTATAGATTAAATAAGAAAAATATCTTTATCATATTTTATGAATTTATATTTAAGACGGCAATATTATAAATCGAATACTAATCGACATAAAATTTTAATTAATTATCAACATTAATAAAAAGAGATGATTAATATTGATTTCAAGCGTGTTTTACATTTTCCTTTACTTTCTGCATTAATTTTATTTTGATTGTAAACGAGTTCAAGATTTTTTAGTATTTGTAATTTCTTTTGTATGAAACTTAACAAAATTTGCCGAATGCACTTCTAAAAATTTTGCATTACACGAAGACGCAAGCTGCATAAGTTCTACGGCATTCTCAATCGTAAGACTGCGTAACAAATAATGTTCACATGTCAATTTCAAAGCTAGTACATCATATTTATCAGCTGTTGTCAATAATTTTTTAAGCATGTCATAATCACACTGATCTACTGAACCAGTAATAATATATAATAAAATCTGTCTAAAAGATTCTACTTCATTATCTGTTACTAATTCATTTGTCATATTTTTTTCTTTTCCCTCATGTGTAAGGTAAATATTCTTAAAGTAGCTACTGTTGGTGGCATACAACAATTCTCTCGATACAACATACTGTTCTTCTCTTACTAGAAATTTGATTGATTCCTCATCTTTAGATTTCTCGTCAAAGATCAAATTTTCAAAATATCTAGCGTCTTCTGAAAAATCTGTGTATTGTTCCAGAACTGTTTTATGGTCCAGATTATGAAAAATTTCAAACTTGCAATGTACGTACAATGTAAGAGTATCTGAATAACTAAATTCGTGAACTGTCGAGATTTCATTTAACAATGTCATATTCGATATATGTCCTGAAACGACATTTTCTGACGTATAATGAAGAGACGTAGTGTATAACGATATAGTAGTGGTACATGAACCGCTAAATGTTTTACTAGTAAGTATATAAAATTTTAATACATGTTTTGTATCAGCTTGACGTGAAACATTCATTTGAATCACGTATTTACCTCTGTCTGGAAACGGTGGAGACTTTATCATACTCATATTAGGAAGACACATAAATTTAGGTAATTGATCAACTTTCCATGTATGGTCAACTATAGTCGACTTAATCTGTGTTTCAGAATAGCTCTTGATATACGAAGGTAAAAATGGTGAAGATACTGTCTGCTCCTTCTTTGCCCCAGTATAGATATTTTCATCTTCTTCAGAACTATCTGTAGGATCATTTCTAGATCTCCACATCTGGAAATAATTAATTTACTTATAAACAATTAAAATAATCAACATTAAAATGTCCTGAAAAAGTCTCTATGCTTTTTATAATAAAATAGATTAAATAAAATAGATTGAATTTCAAACAAATAACCTAACATGTAATACGCTTACACGCTCAGGTAAGAGCCATTTGAAATCGGATTTAATCACAGACTTCTACATATGACCCCAGAACGCTAACTCGTATATGGCAGTTATCTTTACTGTGAAATAGAAAATCATTTAACCGTTGTCTAAAAATACAACGATATATCGTATAGAAGTCTGTGGGTGTAACAAATATAATAAAGTGAAAACATATAGAAGTCTGCGAATTTAACTTAAAAAAACATAAAGATTTTTGGGACACTTTATATTTAATATATCTTTCTTTAAATAAAAATAACATTGTTATGTCAGACAATCACAAAAAAGAGTTAAATGAATAGCCAAATTGTAGGAGAAAACTTAAACATGATTATTTTCGTTGATCAATTTAATAAATACTTGAAAGTTATGACTTTTGTCATATTTGTGTCAAATTCCAAGAATTATTAGTAAGCTGTTTTCTTGCTTAAGTCTTACACGATCTAATATAAATCCCGTTAAATTTAAGGAGAGACTTGTATTTATAATTTTATCCCTCTTCATGCAAATTAATGTATATATAAGTCTAATTTAACATTTTTAAAATGTTTTTTATATTACATATAAACAGAGTACTGTCTTGAATTCTGAAACTTGAATTCTGATACAATAGGAATAGATTCATCTGAAGTGGACTTCTTGCATTAATAATTTTCAAATACTTTTACTTCGCCAGTGAGTAGTGAAATTACAA